ATCAGCTCCAGCAGCTTTTCCATTTTTCAAGCTTTTCACAGCTTGTGTAATTTTGTCTGCAGAAATGGTAATGTCCTTTCACTGCTGATCTACAGGCGAGTTTTCCTGCGGTTGCTCGGGGTAAAGGAGTTCCTCATTAATTGAGTAATGTTCGTTTAATTTGCAAATATAACAAACGTTGGATTGGTGTATTAAGGCGGTTTAATATTGAGTCACTCCCAATTTCACGTAGTCTACGTAAGAATTGTGAAAGAAACGTTTTAGCACCATGCCCTCAATTGAAAACCTGTAGCTTATTAGCGTTGCCACGACCTATTTATGTTATATTTAGTTGTATACCGGTAACTATTGAATCTTTGTCCTAGAAGGATTCGACTGCATATCGCCATTTTCTGACATTTTGTGTATGCATCATCTGATCAGCCCTGACATTTTTTGTATACTGAAAATTTTCTCATTTGCAAAGATACTTAAATCTTTGTTTAAATACTTTCAATTTTAGCATGTTCTTCATCAGCATTGCCAAATGGTGTGAATCACAGCTTTGACTGTTGCAGTAATGAATAAATAACTGTAATTTGAGATGTCGTAATTTCTTAGCTATTTTTCAACCCATTCTCAAGGAAAATGAAAACCGAGTTATTTTCGGTTTCATTCATTCATTTAGTCTGAGCCATTCATTGCTCTTTTCATTTATTCATTGTCTCTTTCGTTTTTTCATCACAAACCGCGCATGAGTTCAGAAGAATTTTTCTAGTCGTTTCGATCTTCAGCTACTCAGGCAAGCTTAAGGAACCGATTTGCGTGACGTATGTTCAGCATTCGATAATCCTACGCATTTGGCTTTCAGTCTAATGCATAGTCGCCTGCTATAAGCTGTTGCGAATGGTCACACACCCCGACCATCTGACAGTTTATCTATATTCTGTTATTGTTTGGATATTAACGACCCCTGATATACTACTTGCGTTGAAAGAATATGACTGTGTTGTGTATATTCAAGCAGTAAATGCTGACATTCATTCGTTACATTTATTGTCTAATCTCTTCTGCATTATTCTTTAAATTTAAATACTGCTTCGTGGATGACCATTAAATGTTTCTTTAAGATGCCCCAACTGAATGATCTTTCAGTATCATAGACCTCTATTTAAATGTTGCTGTTAATTTAAATTCATTAAAAATAAGTACTTTGAATACACAAATCAACACCGATCTTGTGGGTTTACTAGCATACTGCTAATTTTCGATACCGCCGGTAAAAAATATCATTTTCTATTACTATCAGATCTACTCGGTAAGTAGTCTTGCGTCTGCGCACTGCGGGTGCTAAAATATCGTTTTGCTGTGGCCTGCTTAAATGGTTCCCTAAGCTGCTAGAACAAAGGGGACGGTGTCTCTATGCTATGTAGATCCAGTAGTAACAGAAAATGTTAAATACTGTAAAACCGATAAACCAGTTCTCAGACCACTACCGAGATTTCTGACGAATCGACTGGTGAGGACATGAGTTATTTCTTTTACAGGGAGTGATGCCATTTTATGTCGTCTCAAAAATGTCCAAAATACGTTCAGCCAGTTATTTCGTTCCATACACGGATGACTTCGTCGAAGCTGCATTGGATACCCTTGGCCTGCAGCAATGGACCTACGGCTGTTTGCCACACGCTATATTGGTACGGTTTTCGAATTTTATATTTCTGCATGTTTATGCGCTTTGTGTTGTTTTCAGGGAATGTTTATCAGTTATATTCCTGAGAGGCTGTTCAGCTGGTTCACAAAGCGTTACTTGTTGCAGATACGTAAAAAGTACCTGTCAAAGAAAACAGCGTAACTGGCGCGACTGATGACCACTGCAGAAATTTGTTACAATTGGTATCTGACTAAGATTTTGTTGCGCATTGATTTGCTACCTGTAGTTTGGGCAGAATGGTCCTCGTTCAAGCAACGCCAGGTCTTTAGACTTTATGTTAAGTTTTACAATCCGTTATGCTGCGCTTTTGGTGTAATTTCGATTTTTGGTTAGAGCAAAGTTCTCATCGATTTTTCTGTTCGCTTGACATTATCAGTGATTTATGAAGGACCAAGTTAGATCAGTCCAGTAGGCCTGTAAATCATGCCTTTATTTGAAAAGTATCTAGTTTCAAATTCTGGCCAAAAGCGGCATTTATTTTTAATTTGCTTCAAAATTAGCGAATTATTCTTATATGGGGACAGGAGTGCCTCTAACAACTCTTTGTAAATTCATTTTAAATTTAGATAGTTTCTTTGACAATGATGAATCGATAAATGCGAAAAATTGATTTATATAGTTCAGGAATTGCATTTCCTAAAAATGTTTTTGCTTTGAGGTCTGTTCTAGTTACAAATATTTCTGAGACATTTAATGATTTTTTGACAGAATCGTCCTTCATCTGTCTTCAGTCAATGAATTCTTAGGACATATAATCATTATACGTCTGCCAAATGCTGAGATCCTGTGATAGCTTGTAAAACATGTGTGAAATGTTGTAAAATCAGTCTACCGCGTATCTACAATTTAAATCAGGCGTGACATGGAGCATTTCGACATACAGTAAATTATAAGCATCTTCTACATACAGACTAACTTTACTAAGATTAGGACAGCATCGAAATTTTATTTAGACGATTATTTTTCATACAGCACAAAACAGAAATATCTGAATAGTGTACTCAAATAAATGTTGTAAATTTCGGGTTCAGTATGTAGCAACCGAAGCTATCTGTGAACGCAATGTTTCGATTATCCTTCCGCTTTTGACTAATCAGAAAACATCATTCATAATAAAAATCTCAATATGCCTACCAATCCATTTGTGCATACTGTATCAGTTTTTAATCGATTTAAAAATTCCAATCGCTTATTTCAGTTCATTAGTCAAATCATTGTTCAGATATGATTGCTATTTTAAATAAGCTTAATGATAGCTTAATCATTAAACAGTTACATTTAACAACATTAACATTCGATTATATTAGTTATATTTAATAATCAAGTTGTATCACCGAACTCAGTTACTTTTTTTCGAACTTGTTGACTGAAGAAGAAGACAAGTTTTGAGATTCTATCCATGAAGTCGGAAGAATCAACTCTTTCAGTGATCAACGAGGCAGCATTCGTATGAGTTACTATGTTTATGTATGTATATTACAGACAGGCGGCGTCAGCATATGTGAACATATTTTTGAACTAGTTAAGTTGAAGAAATAAACTATCGGAAACGGGATCTTATGATCGAGCATCGAATAGGAAAAATAAAAATGAACGATCCAACATGGACCCCATCAATTATCGTAATCTGTCAGTGTCAAGAACACTGAATACCTGTACGTTGTATGAACGATTTTTACGCTGTTACAAAAATAAACAGATTAATTTTTTTCTTAGAAATTGGAAGGCATTTTTACATAATACAGTTTTGCGTGGAAATCATATTTCCGGAATGACTTATATTGGTTAAGCAGTGGAAAATTTCGTCAATATTTAAATTGAGTTTATTTAACAGAGACTCGAAGTTAAGATTAATGCATATCAGTGCCAATTAATGAGTTGAACTGTCATAGAGAATAGTGTTATAACTACATTTTTAAGATTAAGATGCAGTTGCATCCTAGCATTTATCTCTGAGGAGAGCAGGGTAGTTTCTCATCGTCATCTTTTGAAAATGTGTCCAAATGACTATATGTTAGGATGAACAAAAAATACTTCATGCTCATTTTTTTCTGTACAGAATTCATGCCACGTAACCTAGCGTGCTATGGTTGGTAGTTGCTCAGTTGGTTTCGTTGGTCGCTTATCGTTTTGGATCGCCGAGGCAGACTCTTCAGACAGCGTTTCCATGTTCCTCATCCTAGGGGTGCTTTGAGATTTGGCAAAAGACAACGCAATCTGTCGAAAAGCTTACACCAGGCTATTTTTTGCCTTCCTTCGGTTCTACGGTCGGTCGATTAGGCAAGTATCAGCTGTTTCGCCTTCCTGTCTTAAGGCATTCGGAACACATGCCCAGACCATTGCAGAGCTTACCGTGCAGGAATAGGCTAGCGCACTAGGCTTTTGGTTTTTAAACACGTTCACACGCATGCCAGCCACGTCGCTCGCGGTTGCTACTCTTTTCAGAGGGCACTGTAGATCAGTTTCATTTCAGAAGATACCAATAAAACAGGGTCATCTGCAAACAACAAATTTCTCGTCTTCACATCTCCTACGCTGATTACCTGTGCTGCCCTGATTATTCAATCCATGTACCACATAAACAGGAGAGGGTGCAGAATGCAGCCTGGGTCGAGACCATTGTCATCGCTGAAAGATTTTGACTTTACGCCATTTCCTCTGACGCTACACCTGTTATCAGCATATGGTGATTGCATGGCCCGTAGCAACTGATCATCGATTCCATATTATGCCAAACACTCATATTTTGTTGAGCTGGGTCCTGTCATGAGCTTTTTGCAGGTCCACAAAGCATATGCAAACAAGACTGGCGAATTCCAATGATTTCTCAACAATCCGGCTTAACGCAAAGGTCTAACCAGAGGTATTTTGTCCTGGCTGGCATCCACATTGTTCTTCCTGGATCTTGGAGTCTTACATTGTGGCATATTTCTAACGCCATTGCGTAGACGTTTCCTGAAAGTTTAGTGATGTAATTTCGTTATAATTTGTCCACGTCCTATGGCCTAATTTCTTGAGCATTCGCTGCAATCCTGCGTGCTCGTTTTTACCGCATTCGAGCTGCGTAAGAGATGCCTACTGAAGATAGCTTACTTCTCGATGGCGGCCAGTTGAACCGCTCGTGTCCACCAGGGAAATCGTTTTTGACTCTATGACAACAGCATTGAACTATAGCTCCAAATATGCCGCTCTTAAAGAGCTTCCACTCGGTTTCCACATCAGTTGTTAACCTCAGGATGCGTTCGAAGTGTCGTGCGATGTTTGCAAATTTCGCTGTCGTATCCACGAAGATAACGTGTCCCATTTGATTCTCCGGTTGCTTCTGCCACCACATTTTCGTATGGTACTCCATTTCTTACAGCGCGGTGATCAGTTGACAACTCTGCGCCTCTCTTAATGGGAACATCCATTACTGAGCGTCCTAGGTCTCATGATACGATTATAAAGTCGATCATCGACGTCTCTGCACAAGCTCCCTATGCAAGGTATATTGAGGCATGCTTAAATGCTCGGAAAAGTTGTTCATAACAGACAGCCTGCTGTTTGCACAGAACCAACCAAACAGCTTCATATCGTTATTGTTGACGTCGCCAATCCCGTTCTTTTAAATCTCGCCTTTCAGCTTTCAGTGTCTACTCTAAGTGAGCCTTGAAGCCGCCCATTAGAATGATGGATTCTGTGTTCAGCACTTCGTGCAGAACAGCTTACACTTCCTCAAGGAAGAACCCGTATGCTTCCTCTGAGTTTGGCACATAAATCTGTAACAAAGTCTAAGCTTCGCCCGGATCATTGCTACATTTCCACTGAGAGTCTTACGTTTAGTGATTCTACCAGTCAAATAGGATTTTATCACAACGCCATCACCGGCCTGAATGTGGTCGAAGAGTCGACACCTGAGTAGAGTAGCTTCAAACCTCAGAGATTCAGGATCCAAGAGTGCTGGCGTTTTATTGACGAGAATCCATACCGCATCATTAGACTTGCAGCATCATTTACCGACTCCTGCTCTTCCCATCTGAATGAAAAGATGTTCCAAATTCAGAATGTGAATTCCTATTTCGGTATTATTCCGTGGAACCTTTTGTGATGTTCTACAATGGCATCACACTGCCTACCTTCTACTTTCAGAATTGCTTCCGGCTTTGTGGCTAATTCTTCTTCTTCTCGGTCTTCAGCGGCTGTCGCCTTGCTGCTATGTGCGCAGCTGCTAGAAGGGAAAGCAAACTCTTATCCGCTCCTTTCCGCAGTTGCCTCTGTTCTACAAGTTCCTATGTGGTTTTTTGTTACCCGGGCAACAACTGAGCCGGAACTACTTTCGATAACTGCAATACCATGAACGCATTTGGATAAGATTCATGGGGAGCATAGCCTGTTCTCTAACTCTGCCCCTTTCCCTATAGTCTTGGGGCCGGAAGCGACAGAGTTGAGATCCGCAGTACTTAGAAGGTAAGAAAGGTGGGTTAGCGAAATCTGGACGGACTTATCGGAAAGAAAAATGTATACCAGACCGATCGAAATATGCTATTTTAAGCTTGTTCGTGAGGCATAGGTTCTTGTTTAACACTGT